GGCCTCATAAACGCGGGTTTGTGAAAAGCTCTCTGAGGTGCATCTCGGCAGAAACGTGAAACGCGATGAGACAAGCTTAGAGCTACAACAACGGACATACAGAGCACACCAATTGTATGCTCTCGATCACGAAACTAGCCATATTGTCGCCTTGGCAAAGACTGGCGGCCTGCAAGCCAAACCCACAACACATCACCGAACCGACAACGGCGCCCCTTCCAACGGTAGACTCCGGAATGACTGAAACAGCACACACACCCAACATAACTTACCGCGCCATCCGTGATGCCCATATTGTACAAGATGTCCCGCGACAGCTTGCCCGCTCTCATGCCAGACCCTGGTGGCCTCGACCAGATGTACACCTACGACATCCCCCCCCCGAAAAAACGACATGGAACGTTTCGTACATAGTGTCACAGACAGGCGTGACAATGCATGGGTCAAGAGAGCGACGGTCGACCGCCCTCGTACACCCAACGCGGTAATCAACAAGCCTTCTGGCATCTTCGAACACCGTGATCGACGATGTAGAGCACCCCGACGTTACGCTCGGCAACATGTGGTAGCGAACCATAGAGATGATTCCCGTTGTACCTTGCTTCCGTTGTGCTTCCCCACAAGGTCCTGGCACAGAGACGCCTGCTTATACCGTTCCACGTACACGAGGTTGTGCAGCAACTTCGCTTTTCTGCCGAGACAAGAACGAAAACGACGATGACATGACAGGGCACGGCACATTGGCAGGGCAAGGGCCAAGCGCATCAAAGGGTGGTATCGAGATATGTTGGAGGAAGACAATCAGCCACGAGTACTTCTTCCAACACCAAGAGGAAACAGGTGCTGGCCTGTGAATTCGTGAACGCAATCAGGCGGAAGGAAGGAAAACCTCACTCACCGGCTGGCTTCGGTGATGGCCACGGCGGGGGTGTCTGCCTTGCCAATCGCGAATCCCCCGACACCATGGAGGTTGCCCACGGTCACCAGGGCCCTGTACTGGATCTCCATGCCGCCTTTGACGGTCTGAGGAACGATGGTCAGGGCCGGCAAATAGGTTAGGTTACGAGATGACGGGTTGGATATACCAACCGTATCCGTAATCCACGCTCTTCGTTCCATCACCAAACTACACCAGTTGCATCACACAGGAATGAACACGTCTCACCAAGGGTAACGGACAACCGGCTGTTCGGTGTGACACTCTCGGAGTACCACCGGAAAAAAATGGCGTTGCCGTGCGGTCAGGGAAACGACCGCGCTGGCCGGGATATTCGAACGCTGCGCATTCATTGTCGGTCTTTGGTCGACCAACCGAGACACTTGTCTAAAAATATATAGAGCACGAGGTACCGAGCGAAATAAAACAGGGTGGACAGCACATCAATACCGGACTGTACAGCGGAGTAGCATATCCCACGAGTCTCTTCGTGAACACTGTACCTTGGTCACTCGGTCAGTGTGGACCAAAATCTCTGCCCATTGTCCCTGCGCCATTTCCACTGTCTTCTTCTTCTTAGGAGGGGCAGGACCGTCAGTCTGCAACAAAAAGGGAATGGGCGGGCGATGCCCTCGCTAAGAAATAGGACTGCTGTGGCATTCTGAATATTGCCATCCGTGTCTGCGCCAGAGAGAAACAAGCCCACGATGTGTTCTGGCAGCACACGACGGTGCGAGTGCATGCGTCAGAGATATGTATGTAGATACGTCACCAGGAGCCTTTCTTGTTCCCGAGGTCTAGTAAACACATGGGTAAGAGAACAGCACAGCGTTGCGTTGCGAATGCCGATCGCGACAACACCCAACCAAGCCATCGAACCGCCTCAACATTGCCACATTCAAGACCATTCGCAGAGAGTGCTACTACACCACCCGTCAGCGTACGGCGGTAGCACCGTAACCGAACCAGTTGACAACGGACAAACTAACACGCAGCCCACACCAAGATCGTGGACGAGCGCAAAACAATTCCTGTGATTCTTCTTGCGAAGCATATAGGAAGCCAAAAACGCAGTAGCCATGAAACAGGCTAGGCAAGGCACGTATCGCGGCCAATCCTGGCTCCTTGTTTGC